GTGCTGCCAGCTCCTGTGACTTACAAGAAGCGTAGGAAATAATTGTGCTCCCTTGAGGATATAAACAGAACCGATTTATCATGTCAGAGTATCACACAGTCTGCGGCAATGCCAAGAGCAACATTTATTCGTGGTTTCGGTTTCGCCTTGTGATTGAAACAAAGGTGCGTGAATATTAATTTTTTATCTTTATCGGCTCTCCCTTGCGGGGACGGTGGAACTTGACTTCCATCTTTATTGGCACTGCTCTTAGCTTGTTTATCACTGACACTCATGAGTCATTCTCGTTATTCTTGATTACCAAGTTTGTTCTGCCCAAGGCTGCCACAAACAGAGAATATGACATGGGTTTGCCAGAGCAACTCCAAACTCCAAGAAGAGAACGAAGACTAGTCTTATGTGTGTCGACAGTGATAAGGCGCTGTGCATTGACCTGTGTTTTAATGAATACCACGCTGTGAAATACCAGTAAACGTTTTGCCATTCTCAGAAATGCTGACACCAAAAAACTGTTCCCAATTTTTTTTTTTTCCAATTTAACATATTTGGAACATTTTAAATTTTACATGGGAAAGTTTTCTCCGGAAATATTCGACAATATAAGAATTAACAGTGTTGGCCTACTATTTTTATATAAATGTTATCCCCATCTTCTGATGTGCCGATTGTTTGTCCCATTGTACCAAAGTAACACCAATTCCCAACATATCGACAGCTACAATAAACACTGCTTTTGTTTCAATTTGATAATGCGATTTATCCCACACATATCGATTGTATTTTATTAGGGTGGCCAATCTGAATATTAAAAGTTCTACTTAAAATATCATGCTAGCAATGCAAAAAATTAGCACCATATCCACCCCCACCCCCATTCTAAGATGGCCCCGTTGAAAGACTCCACCATCACTCCAAGGCAGCACCCACAGCCCACAGCTATCACAACAAGTTCAGCACCTTCAAATTATGCGACTTGAAGAGCTCAATCTGCCTTCACGGAGGATCTTTTCTGTGCAATTGCTGGACTTTTTTACAGCACGTTACTTCATTTGCCTGCAAGATTGTTCGAAGAAAGCAAAGCTGCACCGCCACCTCTCTTACAGCAAGTGAAGTTGGTGGCCACAATGCAGACCTGAGATGAACAAGATGCACACAATGCATGCTCAGTAATAAATGCCATTTATTTATGTGCAAGAAAAGGGGACCAGAGTGGATGCACGAAGTAAGCTGGATGTGGTAAGGATTCTACAGAGGGTGTGAAAATGCATGTGTAGACTTCCAGCATACGTAAAGCAAAAGCCGATAAAGTAACTAAGGGAGGTCACGCACAAAGTGGTGTTGGCACTGCAAGTCAATTATGTGTCCTTGCACTCGGTTAGTGATCCTAAAGTTGGTCCACCATAGCATACCTAAGAAATGCCTCGCAAAGTTGTTTACAGCAGCAAAGGTGGTGGTGTTGTTGCCATACTGCTAAGTCTCAAGTTCTAATGCAGTGTACTGATACAAGACGCCCCAATAACTACAGAGTGATCCCTGATTCCCGGAACTAAAAATTTTCACTTGCAGGACCCCATTTATGATTAAACCCGGGTTACTTTCCTTGAGAACACACTGGTAATTTTAACGAACATTAAAAAAAAAAAAAACACTTATGTACAACTATCAAAATTAATTTCATAAAACATGTGCCATATTGCCAATAAATACAGTTTAAAAGTTTACTACCATGTTACTTCCGCATAAAAGTAAACCTTTTTTCCTGTAACCATTCTGTCTTGTAAAGTACTCGAAAGTAATGTTCATGAAACTTTTGACAACACTTACATGCCACTAGTATTACCGTAATTACTCGAATCTAACGCGCACCTTTTTTCCGGTTAAGCGAGTTCATAAATCGCATGCGCGTTAGAATCGAGTACGAACAAAAAAATTAAGGTCAATCTATTGCCATCGCAAATCCAAAATGGCCGCCCCCTACGTGCGTCGACATGGTGCGTCGCCTATTTCTGCCTATGTGTTTACCATGTGCGGCACTTCGTACGTGTGCTGAGGAGTTCGTCATCTAGTAGTGCATTAGCATCGACGACTTGGAAGGGCCGACTCCAAAAACTCGAGTGCACCACGATGCCGCTTCTAAAAGAAAAGTCATCGCGTGTGCAGAAACGGACGGAAATCGGGCCGCATCGTGGTCCTTCTCGAAACGTGCGTGCGGGACCGGCGGAAACAAAAGCAGAAGATTGTCGACAGCAAAGCTTCACGCAAAGGCTTCAGTGAACCACAGCAGGGTCGGTTTCCGCAAATTGAAGAGCTGCTCCGCGAGTATGTGCTTGAGGAGCGAGTGGCACAGCGGCCCATGACGACAGAACTGCTCCAAGTGCGGGCTATGCAATTAGTCTTAGAAAAAAGTCTAATGCGGAGCCTGTTTAAAGCGAGCAGGTGCTGGCTAATTAACTATATGAAGAGGAAAGGCTCTTCCCTCCGAAGGGGAACATGCATATGCGAAAACTTTTGCGGAGAAGTACGATGAAAAGCTTTACAGTTTTCAGAGGTTCGTCCTAAACTTGCGGCGCAACAACGGCTACCTGCTTGGGCAAATCTGGAATGCCGATCAGACGCCTCTTTACTTCGACATGCCTGGCACCACAACTGTCGAGAAGAAGGGGGCGAAGCAAGTTCGCGTGCTGACATCGGTCCACGGTAAAACTACAGTGACGGCAATGCTCTGTTACACGTCAGATGGGCACAAGCTTCGCCCGTACCTCATATTTAAATGGAAGACAATCCCGAAAGGAATCGTTTTTTCGAGTGGTGTGATCGTGCGGGCCAGCAAAAAAAAATGGGTGCGCGTTGCAATCGATGTCTTACGTTTTTTTTTTTTTTCGCGGTGGAAATCGGGTGCGCGTTACAATCGAGGGCGCGGTAGAATCGAGTAAATACGGTATGTACATCTTCATAGCCCTGGATTGTAAAGTTCCATGTCCTACATTTTAATTCATGTAAACTTTTACATACCTGCCAAGCAAGGACAAAGAAAAACATTGCAAAAAACAAAAGCGGGTGAGAGGGGGGTCTCAATCGCAAGCGCCAACATCAGGGTTGCAGTCTTATAGTGGCTAGAAGTAGCCGAACACATGAGGGTAGAGTTTTTCACTAAGGTGAGAGTCTCAAAGGTTCAACACAACTAGCAGAATCTATTTCGGTCAAAAAACTCGCGTGTCTTCCTCGGACACACGTGAACGGATGAGACGGCGCAGCTGGCTGCAGCAAAAGTGCGGGTCCTTCTTGTCTCTTTTTGTCATTCTGTTCTCGTGCTATAACTATCGTCATGTCATACCAACTAGCCCATACTGCCACACGCGGGTCAAAGCTTTCCCCACTACTAGATCATTTTGAGAGGAACGCCGAAACGCGTCTTGCCCCTTCTTATTGCAATAGCAATTATATGAATAGTACAGGCAGTTTTTTTTTTTTGCCGTCGCCACCGCCGCCATCCTTCACCGTATATGTATACATATCTATATATATATGAACACTCAAAGAAAGAAAGCCGCTCGCGCTTCGCACCAAGCTCGTCGCGATGCACCGACGCCTGCTTATCTCTCACGTGTACTTTGCCCTCATGGATGAAGGGAGGGGGGGGGGGGGGGGGGGTGCGTGATCGCGCATGCTTGTCCTTTGGTGGGGGCATTGTGTGCCTTTGGCTTTCACTGAAACAAAAGCATTAGTTTCGGGCCCACAAAGGTGTCAATTTGGTCTCTGCACAGGCCCCTTTGTGAAAACAACGCGCTTTCATACACAGAGAGGTATAACAACTAGAACATTTGTCAATTTGTACTTATCGGTACCTGTAATTACGTATCATGCATCGTTTTTATTTAAACAGCGCGTTGCGTGTCGAGCGGTAAACGTTGTTCCTTCGCTCTGATCCTGCGAGTATCGTTTTCGTGCATCATTTGTGTGATAGCAGCGCGCTGCTGTTTGGATCTGCTTGCCGTTCTCAGTGTTACATTCCAAGTTGTTGCTGTCGCATTTATTGCATCGCCCTTGAGGCGAAACTACACTTTTTAAATTTTTTATGTATTTACTGTTTTTAACCTACCGCTACGTGCCCTCGGAGTTCGTAGACTGCTCTCGCGTCGCCACTACCGCAGTTTTGTGTGCGGCGGTTGCGGCAAACGGTAGTTCATTTTACTATCTCCGTGCGCTTGGCTGCGCACGCGGCTTCAAAACTAAGTCGTTTTATGCCATCTACGATAGCATCTGCTGCAGTTTTGTCCGCACAGTTTGCGGAAAGCAGTGTTGCTTTGACTGGTTGAGCACACACTTTCGGGGTTCTATCAGTTACATCGTCGCCATACATGATCGTGTCAAGAACGACCGCAGTTTCGTCCACAGGGGTTGTGGCAACGACAATCACACGCACTGTAGAAGACAGTGCGTGCGCGGTCGCACACGTACTTCCGAAGCTTCGAGTACGCTGCTGTCTGCCTTCTTTCGATAGTTTCCATACCAAAGTTCGTATCACCTGCCGTGACTATGAAATGTGTTCGGAACATTAGAATTGAGGCCCAATGAACATAGTAAAATTTGGCTGGAATTTCGAGAATTCATATCTGCCGTGGTTCCGAATCACTGAGATTATACTGTACGTATTGATGAACCCCTCTTAAACTCATTTATAATAAATTGGGGTAGGTTCGAAAAGCCTAGAGCGAATTGAGCTGCTTTTTTGTCAATGCGGCTAGATCACGCACAGAAACTTTTATTTCCAAGAGATTTTGATGACAACTAAACAACCAGAAAAAATGGTCCAAATTCGGAGTCTCCCGGCCAATCCGAAAGACTTGGCAGGTATGCTTTTATGTAAACCCAATTATCAAATACTAATAAAATGACTTTCTGAAACTCGGTGATGACAACAGTCAATTCTTTCATGATGGTTCAGTAAAAGATTTCTAACAAAAGCAAAACAGTGCCACAACAAAAGCAAAAAAGGATATCACAGAAGGCGCCTTTGTGGGGGATTTCCTGGTTCCTCTCAATTGTTCGTATTTGGTCTAGCGTCTTGATCAGAGGTGATAAGCCACCATGGACACAAATGACTTCTTCATCAATTATCTGAAACAATTTAAAATTAAAAAAAATATATAGCATAACTTGTCTGTAGCACTGCTCCCTAGCTTTAAAGGTCACAATACCTAGTATTACAAAAGAAAAAAAATTGTACACTTACGGCAGCCACGGTCAGAAGGTCAAATACTTTGCAGCAGTATTTCCAGGCATTTGCATTCCCATACTTAGTTTGGCATTCATCTACAACATAAAAATAGAAGTTTTCTTGTAAGGTTTAGCACTGTTTGAGAGTCCCTCACTAGCCAGAATAGAATATTAGGCAATATATGTAGATATCAGCTTAGCAACTGGCCTGCCATGCTACCCCTGGTGAGAGGTCGAGGCACAAAGGAGAGAGACAGAAAACATGCATGCAGTGTTACACATGATACCACAAATGTTAGTTATTTTCAGAGTCTCATTGAAGCCTGTACACAACAGGAATGCTACAAACACTTTGTTGGAGGGTTTAAATCTTTTCACCACAGCCAAATTTAGCCCACCCTGTTAATGGCCACACTTCTGCACCAGGAGTTACAGACATACACACGCAAAAAAAGAGATATAACAATGAGGCAGTGGTAGTATAAAAAATATGAGTGGGAGCAGCGTACAGCTTGGCAAGGCACCAGCAAAAAAAGATATCTCCTTTCTGATGCACACAGGATCAAATTGTCATGTGAATTTCCACATTTGCTGCGGCTTGCCAATGCTAAGCAACAACATTCATTTCCCCACCAACATTGTCAAACGTTAGCACAAGAAATATGGTCCCAACTAACTGAACACCTTCTTTTAATTTAACAGTAACAAGATTTTACTGAATTTATGTCAAGCAGGTCACAATCAGGTGGCTAACAGCGTTGCTCTCATACTAAAGTAAGCTGGCAATTAAAAACCATTCTGAAGTATTATGCTAACATTCACTAAGGCCTTAGCACACACACGAGCAGTTTGGCATAATCAGAGCATGAGTGGACATTAGATACTTATATGCCAAAAGTGCCTTTTCTACATAACAAGCAGAGCGAAAAATTAAAACGTACCATAAAATCCATAGACTTGGGTGATCTGCCGACTCTCATGGTTTCCACGCAGAAGTGTGATCCTGTTAGGCCACCTAGTATTCAATTGCAACAAGAAATACCTTAGCAAAAGGAAGAATACATAGCCTACTATGATGTTTATTGAGGCAAATAAGCACAGGTTAACAACTATTGATCTCGCAATACCGTACCTATCAACATAGGGACTTTTAAAATGGGGAGATAGATAGGCAGGGAGTGGGGGTGAAGAATAATTTTTAAGCCACACTTTTGCAGTAAGAATGGTCAAAAATGCTTTGTATCAAATTTTGTAGCAGCAAAAATGATTTGTAGCAGCTGCCCTCAGTTCTGTAGCAGGTTGCAAAAACAAAAAATAGAGGCCAGATAGCTTTTTAATGCTTTTTTACTTAGAGCTATATGAATACCAAAATTTTAAGTACAGAACGAATCCAAATATTGAAATGTGAGTGCAAATTGAATTGAACATTTTTCAAATATTTTTTAATACTTCGAATCGAAATTGTAAGAGGAGGGCGGAGTAGTTGGAGGGTATTCCTAAGCATATTATATTAAGATGGCAACATGAAAGTGTTTCGGCTAGGTTGATGAAGTGCTGGTAGGGTGGTTTTATCATTGTCTTATTAAGAATGAAAATATGCAGAGGCCGAATTGCATTTATATGCATGACTTGGTTCAACCAGAGTGTTGCCGACACTTTACACATGAAAGGCAACGATGCTATTCTCTCAGCCTTTCCTTCTCTTTAAACTTCTGCTGAAGCCTAACTGATGAGGCGGACAAGGGTGTGCTCCCTTCGAGTCCAGAGTTACAAATCTGAATCACAGACGTCATAATATAAAAAGATCCGAAACTTTGGGCGCTTAAAACCCACGGCGTTCAATTATCCTGATATCTTGCTCAAATTTCAGGCTACAGCAGCATTATTTGAGTCTCCATTTCTACCACATTTGTCATCTCCATATTGGAACGAGCATTTTCTTGAGCCAATACATTAGCAACCGTAGCCGAGCCTGAAAGGCAGCTTTACTGCAATGTGCGCAATGGGGTAAAGCATATTAATATCTGAAGGGGGGCCACCGCCAATCGGACGCTGGCTTATATTGTCTTTGGGAAGTTCAAATAGTTGGAGTAGTAAAATAGCAAATGCCACTAAAGAAGCAATTGAAATATCAAATATTCCCACCCCTGCTTTTAGTATACAATAAAATGAAGTATTAAAGCAGCTCTGACACAAAATTCTGAAGGTGACAGAGTGAGTGAAATAGATTTATCTAGAGGCATACACAACACCTATGAAATATCAAGGAAAAATATGGCCCACAACATACTTAAAATATATTGTAAAGGGCCACTCACCAGGCCCCATACCGAATTTTAGTTAGACAGTGGAAGTTGTTGGGTGTCCCATGAGTAACATTTTGCCACACAAATTTTTCGAATCGGTTCATCACGAGCGGAGAAAACAGGTTTTATGAAGCGTCGCGAAACGAGGATGAGAGGAGGCGAGCTTGAAACCCTTACCGCTCCTCCGCGTAGCCTTCGCAAGTTCAATCTCTTCCCCGCCCTCTCCAGCATCCGACCATGAGATGATGTGTGCATGACGTGCCCAAACAAGTCCAACCCCCGAGCACGCGAGCAGCGTTGCTTTGTTGCCCAGCGCTATTTTGTGGTCTTCTGCCTGTTTCTGCAGGATGGTTTGTAAAAGCTGAATAAATGATTGTATCGGGCCAGTTGGTAAGGATCCATCTTGCTAGGAAGAGCAGCCACTAAAACACAGAACACACAACACAAGCGCTTAACCTCGTCTTAACGTCTCTTTCACATATTCAGGAAGAACGACGTCATCCGTGGTGTGAATAATGTTGCCTTCAGCAGGTTTCTTCGGTTGGCGCTTGGACCTGAGCTGCGACAGTGTTGTTGACCAAAGGCGTTCAGTTTCGCAGTTGCGAACAGTTGGGCCTTGTGAACTGCGAAACTGAACACCTTTGGTCAACAACACTGTCGCAGCTCAGGTCCAAGTGCCAACCGAAGAAACCTGCTGAAGGCAACATTATTCACACCACGGATGACGTCGTCCTTCCTGAATATGTGAAAGAAACGTTAAGACGAGGTTAAGCGCTTGTGTTGTGTGTTCTGTGTTTAGTGACTGCGCTTCCTAGCAAGTTGTAAAAGCTGGCTTAGACGTGGTAGAGTAGATGAGCACAATGAGTGCGCCAACGCGTAGGAGCGTTCCACGGTGGTCGTCTGCTCAATGCGCTGATCACTGGGACACGAACGCGTGCGAAACGCCGACATATTAGCCCTGCATCTCGTTGCAATTCGTGAGAGAAAAATGAAAAAAAGATGCTCACATTCCCTTATTGCATCTCATTATTTATCTAGAGTTTTATTGATCTTTTCAAGCAATGAATTACATAAACTACGCATGCCGTGTTAAATATTTTTGCCATGCCATGTGGTATACTGCTGACGTCAGAGCAGAGTCGTCTACGTAGATGACCAACGTCACTGCATTGCAGTTTACGTAGGGCCATTCATACATCCGTGTCATGCCCTCATTCTCTAGGTGTGCACAGGCAGAGGAAAGGGGGAGCAGCGTTCATCTTGAATTTTGAGCCATTTCCGCGGTGTGCAGGGTTGCAAATTTTGGCAGACGTGATCATGAACGCCTCGTGTACGCATTGCGCTTGTCAGCTCAAAATTGTCAAACCTGGTGAGTGGCCCTTTAAAGTGCATGCCACACGACAGAACCAGGTACGGAGCCCCTTCGATTGCCACACAGACATCAATGCGGTGGGTGTAAAAAAACCTATGCAACGAGTTTGAGTAGGCTGGTGTCTGGCATGCGCCCTGCGCTTCCGTTGCTTGTGATTTCTTTCTCCGTGCCTGCAGCTTTGCGTGTGCTGGCTGTCAGCGCAGCACCCACTCATGCGTGCTATGGCGTGCCCCACGGTGTCACAGTTTGCGTGGTCAAGTGACCAGCTGTGTTTACCTTGCTGCCAAAACTGCTCCTGCCTGGCTCAGTGCACTTTGAAACGAAAACTGCGACTGGGAACTCTAAAAATGTCTCTAAATTACCAGCGCACACTCGCACAAATGAGGTTTCCAGCCGAATAAGTGGGTCATAAGCTATCTATTGCAATAAAAATAAAGAAATAAAAACTAGGTGCAACATTTTTGAGTTAGTGCTCCTTTAAATTCGGTGTGTACATAAGTTCACTGAAGGCACAACTAATGCAAGCTTTAATCAAAAGATCACAAATGTATAAAGAATTATAGGAACAAATACACTGAAACACTAACCCACGGAAACACGATTGCGAGGCTGTGGGGCATGGCAATAACTGGGAATGGGCCGCAACTGCACTTAGCTCAAACGACAGTGCCACTAGCGGTACCAAAACTACACAGTGACAAAGACTGGCACAACTAAAACCGCAAGTGGGCCCATAGGCACCCCCCCCCCCCCCCCACAGGAGTGTAGTGGATTCACTTTACCTATAAATGACATGAGAGCTGAATGCGGCAGCCTATCTGCCACTTGCTGTTGCTAAAAAATCCCCTTGACGTGGCCTCCGGAATTAAGTGACGCATTGCCAAGTAATGTTGCACTCTAAGCGTAGCAGCTTTGGAGCGATTTCGCTCATTTGTGGTTTTTGATGTAGCAGCTTTTACGAAATCTAGCAAGTTGGTGTAATTTTGCTCATTTGTAGCAAGAATGTAGCAGCTCAGAAACATTTATGAATCATAAACTTTTATATTGATGCGTCATCATCATTGATATGTGGGGCTTAACGTCCGAAAACCACCATATGATTATAAGAGACACCGTAGTGAAAAGCTCCGGAATTTTCATCCACCTGGAGTTCTTTAACATGCACCCAAATCTGAGCACATGGGCCTACAACATTTCCGCCTCTATTGGAAATGCAGCCCCGCCATGGTGGTCTAGTGGCTAAGGTACTCGGCTGCTGACCCGCAGGTCGCGGGATCAAATCCCGGCTGTGGCGGCTACATTTCCGATGGAGGCGGAAATGTTGTAGGCCCATGTACTCAGATTTGGGTGCACGTTAAAGAACCCCAGGTGGTCAAAATTTCCGGAGCCCTCCACTACGGCGTCTCTCATAATCAAATAGTGGTTTTGGGACGTTAAACCCCACAAATCAATCAATCAATCGGAAATGCAGCCGCCGCAGTCGGGATTCGGTCCCGCGACCTGCGGGTCAGCAGCCGAGTACCTTAGCCACTAGACCGCCGCAGTGGGGCGCATCATCATCATAAGCCTAACTAGCTCACTGCAGGGCAAAGGCCTCTCCCATCTTTGGCAATACTTTGTCTTGTTTATGTATGCTGATACATCGTACCATAAAAGCAGTGATGCCACCTATGTCTTCCTTTCTGGAGCAGTTTTCGGAGCAGCAAGATTTTAATTTTAGAGCACTTTGGAGCAGCAAAATTTTCCATTTTGGAGCAATCTGTAGCAGCTAACTTCAAATCCTGGACGAGAAGCAAGTTGCATTTACATTAAAGGTCATAAAAAATTATTCTGAGGCCCTTCTGAGGAATTACAAATATTTAGATTCATTGCAAATTTCATGGAGCCAATCATCTTAGAAGCACTCCCTTTTCCAGTTGATGACGCAAAAATAATGGCGTCATGCTGTTGATCATTCCGAAAAACTTGTTCAGTGATTATTTCGGTAGCAAATAAATAGAATACTGGTTGAATATAATTGCACTTCATGAAATAACAATATAAGTACACCTGTGATTATCGGCACATATGGTAGACAAACACTGTGGTGTACAACACTACAGACACGCATAGTCACAAATGCATTCCCCTAAGATGACTTGAAGAATTAAAAAATGGTTCTTTTTTTTTTCACGACTGATTAGACTGATAGACACAGTATGACATCATTCAGCTAGTCTCAGAAAGCCAACCTCCTCCGGCACTCATCTCTGTGCTGAAACTACAAAATTTTGCAAACTCCATTTTTCTTTTGCAGCAATGTTTAGTGTAACTAGGGTGTTCTGTTTATACTTAAAA